GGCTGGTTTGTCCCCACACTTCCCCAAAAAAACCTTTCGCTGCCGCATGTGCAATTTCACGACTAATTCAGCCTCAGCAAAGCTAGGTGCAGACAGGGAAAAAAAAAATCCTCCACATCAGGAGAAACTTGATTCAACCCCTAACTACCGCCTCTCAGCGAACCCTCACAAGCCTAATAAAGCCTTATGAATAAATTACATGCTTTTCAGCTTCCTATTTTTCGAAGTGATAAAAAAAAATATGTAGCAACACATCATTGCAGATCTCCCCCCTCCCGCCGCATCCCGCAAGCCTCGGCGTGCCCGTCGCTGGGCGGCTGGCGGAGGTGACAGTCACCAAGGGACACAGGAATTCACACCCAGGGTGGTTACAAAGGGATTTCAGGTGCTGCCGACCATCAGCTGTCTCTGCCCTCACCCAGGCTTTAACATATTAATCAGGAGAAGGGAGAGAGAGAGAGACATTTGAAGCTGATCAAACAAAAAGCCCCGGCAAAACAACATCTCGAGTGACAGCGGTGACACACGTCGCCGAGTCAAAGCCTGACACCTGGCATTAGATGTCTGAGCGATTGGTTGACGTTATAAAAACGCATTCCACCCTAAGCAGGGATATTTTTACATTTCGATGACAGGCACTAACTATTTAGATATTAGGTTCGTGCAGGTAGAAAGCCAGCCCGATACCCATCCCCATCACGCTCGTGCACAACGTCATGCACAGACACCGTGTTCCCAGGTGGGCTGGGAAAGCAAGCCTGTGCCACTGTATTTTTTTTTACAAAAAAGAGAAAAAAGAGAGAAAAAAGCAAAACCTCTTTCTCGTGATTCGTAGCCCTGCCCTGACATCCCTCCCTGCTCCCACCTGGCACCCCACGGCAGGGATTTTCTGCCTGGGTCCAGGCTGCTCGCCCCTCACCTCACACCCCACAAAGCCACGGATGCTGAAAGAACCACTTCCTCTGATATACCCTCACTGTTCTCTTCTTAACAAAAAGATACAGCCATAATTTTGTGGAAAATGTATGCAGGAAGAGGAGGATTTGATTTTCTGAATGCAGAAAGAGTCAAGCTCCCTTGTGGAATTTAAATACACTTATTTGATGGCTTTCCTTTTTTTTTTTTTTTTTTTTGCCCAACCCTCTCAACGTTTCAGCACATGAATAATCGTACTCATATAAACAAAACGGGCTCCTTCATGGATGAAACGCACACAAGAGATTTGTGCCATTAAAATGTTATTTAATCTATTTTAAGGGTTTCTGAAAGACTGAAAGGTACAGAGGCAGGGTACCCTCTGGAAGAGGATCCATGTCATTGCCAGTGCAATGAGGTTAGTTTTGTCCCTAAAGAGGTTGCAGGATGAGAGACTGATTATTGTGAAATTACCACTAACAACAATGTGGTCTCGTTGTACCCATTTGATTTTCAAATCTCCACATTCGCAGCCCTCACAGCTCTGCAACAACCCTGCCTGCTCCATGCACCCAACTGCTGGCCTGGCAGCACCAGAAATCCAGCCTGCTCAACGTAGGTGGAAAAATTTTTGGGGAAAAAAGGAAATCTGGGATATTAAGAGGACATGCTGTGCTTTTCCCCTGGAAATAGTTTTAAAAGATCCAACCCAAACTTCAGACAATTAAACATTCATAGCAAAAAGTAGCTTGAGTCAGTCATTAAACCTCAAAGGGATCCTGAATTGTGCTTTTCTTAATGAATTCAATAATCGATTCTTACCACACAAATAAGGTGTTGGATGGATCAGCTAATAAGCATTCTCAGTTAATTGCTTTCTTCAAGTGACAATTTGTACAAATGATACCATCAAAGTAGTAATAATATCCTTATTGATTAAATTAATCTCTAAAAGACAACTCAAATAAGTTTAATTAGCAATGCATGACAGAAACACAAAATACTCTGAAAACAACCTTGTAACCCATCCCAGACTTTGAAATCATGGCAACAGTCAGGCTATAGACTTTTGCAGCTTTATTCAAATAGACACGCACAATTTTATGGAGCATCTTTAGTGAGTGTCTGTGACTAACCACGAAAACCCAGGAAACCCTCCCTGCAGAGGAGAAGCGAGATGCGCAGCAAAAGCAGCCTTCCCACTCAGTCACACAGGCACTAAAAGCCAGGGTTGCAAAGTGTTTTAAAATAAAAGAAAAATTTCCAGCAGAAGGAGCAGAGTCGGTCTGAGAAGCCTCTGTGCCAGAACTTGCACCTGGAGCTGGTGGGGGCCCAGAGCAGCATCAACACTTTCAAGGCATGGAAACTGGACAGCAGGTTTTTATAAAACCAGAGCAGAAACTTGTTCAGTTCAGCAAAGGGTTAAAGGGGTTGGTCAGAGCTTGTTTAGAAAGAGCAGGTTATTCATTCTGGGGACAGGACGGGTGGTCCACGGCATCCCCGGAGAAGCAGTGGAAGCTTGGAGCAACACTTGCTCTCCTTGTTCCCACACAAGACCAAGACCAGGTATGAGGTGTCTCCAGCAGCTTCACCGGTGTCCCCTGGTCACCAGCTGGGCATGAGGATGGGATTTCAACCAGCAGTGGAAACTCTGGGGGGAGGTTATGAAGATCAAGTGTTTGGTCCTTGTAGGTCTCACCACAGTAGGAGAGACCTGCTGCTACTATAATCTGATTGCAAAGCACATTTTGGGACACTGAAAACCTCTCAGTCAATACTCGCCTAAAGTGCCTTGCTGAGCAAACACTCCTCTGCTCCCTGCCAAGAAAAGGGGAATTAGACTCAGTTCTGCCTGGGGAAGTGAGGTAGTGGACACCAGGGAGAAGAGGAGTGAATAAGCACAACCTTCTGGAGACACTCCAGGGCGATAAAAGGAAATACAATAATACAGAGAACAGCATGTTCCCCTTGTCAGGGCCAGAGCCACCCCGCAAGCAGAACAGGAATTTGCCTGGGGCAGCAACACGTTTAATGGCTTTATTATTATTACCTGAGCAGCCCGAGGATGCTCCCCAGCACGTCCGGGAGAGCAGTGAGCCCGGAGCCACCTTTGTTAATGTCAGTAACGGGGGTTCATTTTTTTAAGTGGCTGAGGCTGGAGATTTCTCATTTAGCTAACAGAATCCAGCCACTTAAAGAAACATACGGCCCATATATTTTAACATACAGAGGTATAGAACAGCTGATTTAGAGTGTTTAAAGCATATTAATAAAACAAGACTCTTGTACAGTATATGGTCATGGTCCTTCTAGGTTAGGACAGCCCAACCTTCTCAATTATATATTTCATTTTCTCATTCAGACTACTTGCATTTAATTCTACCATAATACAGCTAGCGCGTGCTTTTGCGGACACACATCCTTCTCATAGTCTCAAGGGGTTTAGTACCTCATTTTTGTTCTGTGAGGGTTTTTGGAAATACAAGAATATAATGTTTAAATGACACACATGACTCTCAGAAAGATGATGGAATTTGCACCAGCATCACAAAGAAAAGAAATACCTTCTGTATTTATTTTCACCCAAGAACCACTGAAACAAACAAGGAACCACCAAATTACTCTTCTGACTATAGACCGAATTACTCTTCTGACTATAGAGTATTTTGGCTCTCAAAACCGCCAGTGTTTTTAAAACCTTGACCAGAACACATCAGCATATGAGCAGGCAAACAGCAGGGAGACATTTGGGTTGGAACCTCAAGCCTGGGAAAGTCACATGGGGAAGGGAGGGATTATTTTCTTCCAAAAAGGATATTCATTAGATAGCCTTTCTAAAAAGTTCAGCGTGTAAAAAAGAAGAGGACATATGCTCATCACTTGTCCCTGAGACATTCATCTTATTTTTCCAGTTAAGAAGCCAATCTTCCACGAAATCCCCCAAAAACCTGGCAGATGGGTTGAATTACTAATTTTGAGAAGACTGGTTCCAAAATGTTATTATTAAAAAGTCCCACGAACAAACAAATAAGGATGGCCACACGAGAATGCTGGTTTAGAGGCGGATCTCTCTAGACCAAAGGAGTGAGCTGCATGATGATGTGCAATAATTTCTTCATGTGGAGAAGAGCTGTGTGGCATATTTAAAGCCTTTAATTTCTATTCCCTTGTTTAAGTGAGATTATCGCTCCCCATAGCCAATAACAATAGATTTCTTAAGTTTCTTCTGATTTGCCAGCACAGCAAATATCCTCTGGTAAATCTATGAACTGAACAATGATTTTTCATTTTTACAACAGCAGAGTCAATGCAATTTTCCAGTTATAAGTCTCAAGCCTCTCCCTATCAGCTTGTTAACGTACAAACACTGAACTCTCAAACATGCCTGGAAGAATCTCCACAGACTTTGCCGTCCCAAGCTGCTTCTGAACATCGAATTCATTGCTTATGAATCACTTCACTGTATGTAAACACTTGAATCACTAAGCCACGTCTAATATTGTGCATAGTAATCAAGTGATGTTGTCACGGCGGATTCTGTAACGAGGAGTATCTGCACGGCTGCACTGAGGCAGCTCTAAAAGCACAGCTATTAGTGTCTCACTTTAAAAGCAGGTTTTGCCTGTTCATTAGCTTTTTTTTTTTCTTTGCAGATGCTAAACGCCTGTGAAATATTTTCAGGCTTGGTGTCTTCTTGAGACGCTCACAAGAGCCCCACCAACCCGCTGCGACTCTTCACATGATAAAAACGGCACGGTATTTTTCCCTACATTTAAGATAACCTGTAACTTGTAGCAGTGGTGTGACAACGTGACCAGGTTCCTGTGAAGTTGGGATGCCATTTCACCTCAGTAGCTTTTTGCATCAGGTCAGGCAGATAAGCATCCAAGAAAAAAACCCAAAACACTCACCTCTAAAAGCAGGTCATTTTCCCCCCTTAAACTTAAATTAAAATGCTACAGAACACATCAATGCTCAGTTCCCCTGAAGCATTCTAATGACTGTTTATGTTAACTTCTTAAAGTGTTGCTTTGGGTTCCTTAAATGCTGTTAAGTGCAATTTTTCTCACACGTGTGTCACAAACCTTGATGCCGAGCTCAATGTTCTCCCCTCCGTACACATCCATCCCCGGATCCAGAAGCCCAATCTCTCCAAAGAACTTTCTGTGCACAACGAATGAGCAACCGATCATCGCCGGCGTCCTGTATGAAAAGAAAACCAACAGAAATGCACAATTATTGACATTTTCCGATTTTTCATGGACCGAGGGCTAGTTTCTGAGAAGTCACTCAGCGACTGTGCAGCAATGAGTGAGCTCTGCGCCTTTGAAGACATTACTTTACCACTGCAATGAAATTATCCACAATTTAAGCTCATTTCACTGTGCAGACTGGAGAAAGAGTTCTCCTAGGATTAAATTACTGAAAAGCCTTCAGGTGTTGGTTCTGTGGTAAACATCTCAGTGTGTCTATGGGCAAGAACACAAATTCTTGCGGTTTCCATTCGCCGTTTGTGAAGAAAATATAATAATGGCATTTCCTTTCTCTTACTTTCTTCCAGCACGTCTAGTAACAGACTGGACTTCAGGACAGATACTAGTTTTTACGGTGCCTTGTGAAATGAGGGTTCTGGCTGGGGTCTTTCTAATATATCTCACAAAGGAGTCATTATCAACTAGTGACAACAAGGCAAATGGCGAATTGGCAAGCAAATTGTTTAAAAACTCAAGACAACCGCTTGCAGAAAGGTCTGCTGTGTCATCTGCCCAGTTCCACCAATGCAGGGCTCCGGGGTAGAGATCAAGGTGTGACAGTGGTCCCACGAACCCTCATGCCCCACAGCCCAGGGCGCTGCTCGACCCCACCGCTGCCAGAGCAGCCCAGCACAGCCTCCGGCCGGGGAAAATAACAGAGGAAAACGAGAGCAACACTAACAGTACTGACATCAAGAGAATAGCAGCTACTGAGGAAAAGCTCAGTGTCAGGGGTTAATTTATAATAACTATGCAATTTCAAGGACATAATAGATGGCTGTGTTTACTAAGGACCCTGGCTGCCCCGTGCACACGCGCCGTCCCTCCCTCTTTACCTTGCAAAACGCTGGACCACATCTCCATCTGATGCAGCTGCCCCAAGACCAGGATGCTGTTCTGATTCACACAGGCTGAGATCACGTTTGGGGGTATTTTTTTTTGAATGGTTAAACACTCGTGACCCTCTCCATAAAATTACACTTTGCCACAGAGCATGGCACTGAACAAAACCGTATCATTATGCTCTTGCTGCCTGGGGATACACTAATCTGTTGCGGTTACGGTATGTGGAAAGTTTACCCCCTGGGATATTTTCTGTACTAAAATAGAAATATAAAAACTGTTCTTCCCTCTAACTTGCTTTCATTTGAATCCGTGCTGTAAAGAAAAAAACCAAGGATCCACTCAGGGGGATCAGCAGGGAGGAGACAATGGATTTTACATCTAAGCTGTGCCATGGGGAGGTATGGGACCCCCACTGCCCACCCTGAGCTCAAAGCTTCGAGCGGGAGGAAGCCCCACCACGCAGGATGAGGTGGCCATCACCTCTGCAGCTCCTCGCCTGGGCCCAGGGGACACTCGCCTTGTGCCGCCTGGGGAAGATTGCAGAGTGTTACAGCAATGGCCTGTGCACCTGGAAATCTCACAGCACTTCAAAATGTCTGCTCTCCAGAGGGAACCAGGTCTTGAGGTAGAAATGGGCAATGGAATCTTGTATTTTAACAGCAGCCCCAGAATCCCAGCTCAAAGCACATTTCCATGCTTGCCCATGCTGTGGAGCACGTTCAAGGCTGAACTTAGCAGTCACAGCTCGCAGAGTAGGAAAGCACCCTCAAACATACCCAGTCACAGCTTACAGATGGCAAGGATCAGGTCCAACCTCTCCATCCCCACCCCACCAACTGCCTGTATCCACCTGAGGAGCACCTGGGGTCCCTTGTGCCCCCCAGGCACCCCCCGGGCTCAATAACCCCCAAGGACAGACATCTGCCGAGAGCTGGCCAAATCAATCTTTGTGAAACCCTCCAGCTCCTTGGATGAAGAGTTCCAGCCACTTAAGTATGCTTATTTATAGCCACTTTAATACTTTTAATAGACTGGTAGAACAGCTGAATGCTGCTGCCATATTAAATTACTTGGAATTGGAATCTGTCAGAGGATTTTTTCAATAGATTTCTTCCCTGACAGCCAGCTCGGCCTTCCTTCCAATAAGCAGTATAATGTTTCATGGTTTGCTGCCACTCTAGTACTTAAGATTTCAATTCTACTGCTTTATTTGTAGCAAGTTAACTGCCATTAGCAGAAACAATTCTTTCTGAAATGATAACCACCTCAGAGATGCCAAATCTAATAGCTCCATTATCCTAGATTACCTCCTGGAATTAAACAGAAGGGTAAGTTGCTCTGGTTTTACACGGAGCATGAACAATCCAGTTCATCTCCTCCACTGGGAACAGGCGTGGGGGAACACAGGAATCTTTGACTTCTCCAGTCAAAACTTGTTTGGTGTGTTAAAGACACTCCGAGAACAGCTAAAGCCAGAAAAAAAAAAAAAAAGAAAAAAAAAAAAGGATGAAAGTTTCAGACACATTAAACTGCATTTCTGATCCAATAACGTGGACCACTGGGAACTTAAGATTTCAATTCTACTGCTTTATTTGTAGCAAGTTAACTGCCATTAGCAGAAACAATTCTTTCTGAAATGATAACCACCTCAGAGATGCCAAATCTAATAGCTCCATTATCCTAGATTACCTCCTGGAATTAAACAGAAGGGTAAGTTGCTCTGGTTTTACACGGAGCATGAACAATCCAGTTCATCTCCTCCACTGGGAACAGGCGTGGGGGAACACAGGAATCTTTGACTTCTCCAGTCAAAACTTGTTTGGTGTGTTAAAGACCCTCCGAGAAAAGCGAAAGCCAAAAAAAAAAAAAAGAAAAAAAAAAAAGGATGAAAGTTTCAGACACATTAAACTGCATTTCTGATCCAATAACGTGGACCACTGGGAACTCACCACCAGATAAACAAGGTTTTCTGAACTGGAAGCTGCTCAACAGCCATGCAAAGGAACTGTCGCCCAGGAAAGCTTTTTCCATCATTATTTTGCAACATGAGTTCACTTTATAGACCACAGAGTCACCGATCCTTTCCAAAATCATTCTTGGAAACAGCCTGATTGGGATTTTTCTAACTTCACCTTCAAATTTTCCTCTCCTTCATTGTGCTGCATGTTCTGTTTCCCACCCAGGGCACGGTGAGGCATGCAAAGCAGCGCTCCCGAGCGGGTCTGAGCTCCCTCAAGCAATACAAATTAAGTGCTACATTCTTCTTTGTAACAATGCCTCCATATTAAATAAATGAGGAATCAAGCGGCGCTCAACAATTTAAATAAAAACACCATTTGATTTTGCAGTAAATCCTTCAAAAAGGTGGACGGTTACAATAACGGATAGCCCATCCACAATGAAATAATGGCCTGCAGACAAAGAGCTGATAAAGCCTCTTGTGCCTCTGCCCCTTAATTAAAAGCATTAACACAGTTTGTTTTTAAAAATCACAGACAGCTCAGCTCAGCTAAATGCATTTTTATTTGTCCCGATAGCTATTCTTTCTTTAATGAGAAAGGAAAAGCAGAATTTGGCAGGAAAGGATGAACAGAGATGTTTAGCAGAATTATTGGTTTTGTATCCAGAAATCCACAGCGTCACTTCCTTGCCATTATTGTGGTTGGCTCCTCCATACAATAAGTGATGGAAGGTCAAGAAGAGCAGCTTTTATGAAATATCCTCAGCATGAATCTCTAAATAAAGATGAAGAAGATACAGGGAAAAACGTTTATCCCAGTCTATTAAGTTACTTTAATGGTCTTCCTTTCTTTAGTGCACAGTTATCATCTAATGATTAAAAAGTCTCAAGTAGATTGCTTCTTCAATTCAAGGAAATTAATTTTCCTCCACAATTGGATTTTGCTTCCAATTTTATACTGAAGCGCAAGTTATGAAATATGTAGAAAAAAGATATTAAAAAAATAATTAGCGGTCATACCACTGAGTGCAAGAAGGCTGAGAACATGCTTTAAGAACTGCTGGGGTGTCCAGTTTCCATTAAACTGCTGTTGTTTTTAATAAATGTCAATCATGGAGTTGCTCACCTTCAACAACACAACCCCAGGGCTTTAGGAGACACAGCACCGCAGTTAGCACAGTTGGGATGGTCCTCTACCTGCCCAGAAAGGTGTTATTCATCCCTCTCCCAAACTCGCTGTTCCCAATCGAACATACCAAATCCATACATCTCATCTTCCATTTGGAGATCTCAGCCTTGTCCCAAACACACACAATTTCCCATTTCTGCTGCCTTGGCTTCACCTCCACGTTTCAGCTGGGGCTCACTGGTGGCATCTCGGCAGGACACACTGGGAGACTCTGAGCTCCGTGGCTTAAATTCAACCAGCTGATATGTAGAAAATGTCAAGTAAATTAAGCCTGTAGCTTTAAATATTCCAACCAATTATTTCCCTGATGACACCAGGGTAAGGAAGAACACCATCTTTGTTTTTATATGACACTCTGTGATAAAACAATTGAATTTCTTTTGGTCATACACGAAATTAAGGACCTGACTTGCAAACGGAAAAAACTGTCGGTGCAACAACATGACATCGGTCATGTTCTTCTGCATTTGTGGCACAGTGAACACACTGCAGAATAAATAAAGACCAGGATGAGTAACACAGGTTTAAAACAAGAGAATATGTCCATGGAAATCAAATACAAGCGTGTGACATTAAGGGCTGACCCCTCTAGTTACAAGCCAGGGTTACTCAGACCCCAGCAGCAGCTCCTTGGGGCAAAGACTGTGCAAAACCCTCTCCACTGGCAACAAGCTGTGTCCCAGGGGCTCGGGGACTCCAGGATGGAAGCCCTCCCACTCTGGCTGCCTTCCTGGCTGGTCCAGCCCACTGCAGACCATGCACTGGGCCCAGTCTGACCACAACAGGACAACTCTGGGGTGGCAGAGTGGCAGTGCTCCAAGGGCCACCATGGGGCCACCGTCCCCAGGCAATGTGCTGTTCTAATGGGAATCTGCAGGTAGTCCTGCTGCAAAGCCACAGAGGAAACTTCTGGTCCCTCAGGGTTTAGGGGCAGAGGAATGGCAGAGGAGATCAA